TGAGGCTACCAGAAAGGGTGCAGTGCCTACACCCCTTAACTGCTACAGCCCATGCACCCCCTCCCGTTCCACTGCCGGCTATGGCCCGACTGCAACCATACTGGAGACCCAAGCCAGACCCCCTAGCTGAGTCCTCTCAGAATTTCTGACCCAGAGAAACCGTAAGAAATAATAAAATGGTTGTTACTGTCTGAAGTCACCATGGTTTTGAGACAACTTTTTGCACAACAATAACTAACCAGAATCTGCATGCATACAAAGTAAGAGGTTAAAGTAATGGGGTTCATGATAAACATGCCAAAATGTGTCTATATACAACTGTATGCCATTTCCTTCAACAAGTAGTCACCCTGGGAAAAGTTTATTCATAATCAGAATCATAATCATCATGATATTGTGCCCCTACCCCCCCACATTGATCTGTGACTTTGTGCATATTATTCTGCCTCTTTGGTTCCCTCGAATAAAAGGAAATAGATTGTTTTCCATATTGTCCTTTTCATCTCTAAGAATTATTGACTATTGTTCCAAATTCTTTGGTTACTGCGAAGTATATCCTGTTACTAAATTCCCACTGTAATGTATGTAGCACCTACTTTCCATATTTAAACTATAATAAACTTTTAAAGATAGATATTATCTGTGTAGGAGAAAAATACCCTTTTGTCTACCATTTAAACCCCTACTTCAGTCTGAAAAATTTTTGTTTATAAAGAGATCATTGAGAGTATCAAAATTTAGGAAAGATATTTCTATTGGTCATTCTATTAGATCCTTTATATTTTTGTTATTTGAGAATATCTTAATATTTGTTGAGATATAAGATCATCTTTGAAAAGCACAGTAACAATCTTTGTATGTTGTGGGGATATGGTAGATGGGATCCAGGAACATGGTTTAATAAACCATACATTCCTTTCTTCAGTGCTTTATTTTTTAATAAATGATGCATTCACATAATTTAAACAGAAAAAAATTGACAAGTAAACAATAAAAAGTCTCCTTCTCATATCTGCCTTCATCTTGGCAGTTTCCATTACTCCCCTAGTAGGAGGTAACCACTGTTATTAATTGTTTATTGATCCTTCCAAACATGTTTCATGGAGGCATTAGCTAAAATAGACATATCTTCTTTCCTACACCTGTGGGGTATTTTTACACTAATAGTAGTATGCTAATCATACTTTTTCTGCCTTTTTTAAACTTAGTAATATGTTTGGATATCATTCCATATCCATACATAAAGAACTTCATTGTCTTTTTTACAGAAGCTAAATATTTCATTGTATAAATGTACAATTATTTTACTAGTTACCTAAATGTACATTTAGGTTGTATCCAATTTTTGCCTGTTATATGTAATGTTGCAGTGAATGGCCCGTAATGATGCCATTTTGCATATGAATAAGCATACTGTCTATCGGATACTTCCCTGGAAATAGAACTATTCGATCAAAAGGAGTCTACATTTGAAATTTGGATAGATATCTCTCCAGGGATGGGGACAGTTAATGCTGTGTTCATAAGCATGTCTGAGAAGTTTGAACTCTGAACAATGCTCATTTATCTGGACAAGAATGAATTAGACTATATAGAATCTATAGATCAATTCTTAATTGGCATGTAGAGGAATTATATTTGAGAACAGCAAAGGATCTTAGAGGCCATCTTATTCAACTCCCTCTTCTAGATCTGTAGAGGAAACTCAAAGAGGAGAGTGACTTGCCCAAGGTCATGCAGGTGGTTAGTAACAAATCTGGCACTTCTGACTTATAGACAGATCTTAGGACTTACAGTCTGGTATTCTTTGCCACCAGAGCAGAGATGACAATTATCATTCTTGCCTATGTGTTCAAGATGTCTTGAGTTCTGGTTCTGGTGATAGTTACCATTTCTTGAGCTCCTGCATGCATAAGACATCAAACTAAACACTCTGTTTATATTATCTTATTTATACCAAGGGATCCACAAAGTCATGTGCAAGAGAAAGTGTTGCCTGTGAATTGAATACATGTAGCTCACATATATATATATACATATATATGTCCGCTATGAAGATGCTATTGTATTTAATAAAATGTAAATTAATGCAAAGCCTCATTGAAGTCAAAATAGCTGTTTGTCTCTAACTTGTTCTCAATCAATAGATTTTGAAACTACTGTTGTGAAAGATATCTATAATATTTTTGATGTTAAAAAAGTATCCTAGTACTATCTTAAGGATCAGGCATCATTCTATACTCCATTTGTCTCCATTACAAGATTAAATATTAATGATGCCACACAGCACAGAAGAGACCACAGAGATCATCTAAGCAGTGATTTGTTTTACAGATGAGGAATCCAAAGCAGGGACCAGTGAAATGACCACTTCCCTGGGGCAACTGGCAAGTCAGTCAGGCTCAAGCTAGAATTAGAATGCAGGCCTCCTGACTGAATTTTGTAACAGAAAAAGAGGAACTTCTTAGGGTGGAAGAGTTACTTATAAGTACTGTGAACAATTAAAATAGTGGAAAAAATTGACTTTCAATCCTCACACTGATTCACCTCCAGCTTTGCTGATCTAAGATGTCATTGTGTTGGTTGATAGTAGTACTTGATCTTGGATGTTGTAAATTTAATATAGAGCATAAAATACAGAGATCCATATTTTGATGTTGAAGAGCTCCATTTATTGGCTGCTCGTTCTCAGACTTTTAGGTTAAATAGGGAGCTGAAGAAATTCACAGAATAATTTTTCATGAATTTCATTTAAGTTATGTGTACAATGATGGCTAAGGGAAAAAGAAAAGTTTATTATGTCACTACTTACTGCTTTTCTGGGCTTCTCTCTCTCTCTCCTTTCCTCCGTTAATGCCCTTAAGCCCTGTTTTTCCTTGGCTCAGTAGACACATCTCGATGACCTGAGGTAACAGGCACTTACTCTTGATCTTCATCCTTAATAAGGAAACCAAGGTCACATACTGGTATTCCTTTATGTGCTAAGTGTTTGATGTACAGGGACAATGGGAAAGAAGGGAAAAGCCATGGACTTCACCTTCAGCAATGGCAAAGAGGTGACAAAATTGCCCTGGAACATTTCCCAAAGGTTTATTTGTGTAAACTTAGTCCCTTAAGGTGCTCTGTAAACACAAGTTTCAATATTTAAATATGTTTTGGCACCAGAGCATTCTGTGTCCTGCTCATGGTGGTTCACAACTCACTGCAGCATACTAAGTGTCCCGAGAAGTCACACAATAAAGTAACTGATTTGACTTAATTTCACCCAGATTCCCAAATGTAATTAACCTTTAAATCTATATCTTACTGCACCCACTTTGGGAAATGGTGCCCTGTAGAATCCTGTGCTGTTACTGTGAAGCTTTTCTTCCATTTGTATTCACGAGGGGATTTAGACTATCATATCCGGGCACAAGGGGAACATAAAGTAAAGCTAAGTACAATCTTCCTTCTTCATGTATTCTGGCATTCCTTTAAAAACAGAAGCTAATGTAAAATATTCATATAAAATTCACTACATAGGGTGCATAGACTCACAGTGCTTCAATATATACAACTCATCCTTGTTACTAATATTACAAAAAAATGATATTACTGTGTGCTTTATTTTTTTGCTCACTACAATAAAAATCCCCCTTGATCTTCTCTTTTTATATTGTAGTGGTTCTTACCTTAAAGCCAGTTTGCCTGTAAAATAATATCTGCATGAACTCACCGATGATGTTTCTGCTATTTTGATCACAAGCTATCATCTTTACTATTATCTGGCAAGGGCTTAAATACTGTTTCAGAGTTAAAAGTTGAAATAAAAGTTTTGGGGACTTACTCAAATATCAACTACTCTTGACATTTAACTAAGGCAATCAAGATTTTTCCCTTAGTGATTTTTTTCCTGCTATTCAAATTTCATACACAATTTAAAAGTATTCCATAGGCTCATTTTTATAATGTGTTCTTACTCTCTTGTCACAGTTATTGAAATTAAGTGCCACTGATTAGCCAAAGCAAATAATTTCATTTCATTATAATATTCCAATTGGACTGGATTTGCTTGATCAAAATTGATTAGTTGTTACTTCCACCAGTGCAATGGGTTAATAATCCAGATTAAAGGTAAGGGAGGGGGTAGTTATAAGGAATTTTCAAGTGATCTGGGTTAAAATTCGGGCTCCTTCTTATAATCTTTACTGACTTTAAAATTAGTAGAGTCCTCTTTCAGTATGTTCCTAAATATAAAAAGTGTTATATGTGCAGATATTAAAAGAATACCACAGTGTCTGGTTTTATACCACAAAGAAGTCAAATTTTTGGTCTTAATATAAATACCAGTTGCAAAGTATAGATTACTTTTTAAAAGTTTTAGTAAGTTAAAAAACACAAGCTGGGGAATTATTAGGGACTGTTATCCCTGGCATACCTTGTATATGTGAGGATTGGTAGGTTGCACTGTCAAATTGGTAGAGATGCTTTAAAACGATTCCTCTTAAGGTTATGACTGACTATTATAAACTCTTTTGCCTGTCTTCTGAATTTCGCCCTTCTTTATCATGTACAGTGCCTGAAACTATTATTATTTTACTTCCAAGGCAAGTGATGTGATTTATATAACATTGGTTCTTCCAAGGTCAATTCAGAATGCTCATTTTGCAGGCAATTATTTCTCAGTTTGTTTCTCACTGAGGATTTGTCTTTTGCCAGTATGCCAATTATTCACATCTTTTATTATAATCTGTCTCACTGGGATCTAACCAGTAATGAAAGAACAGTTTACTGGTAGGGGATATTCCTTTTCACAATTACCACCTTTCCAGGAAATTGTCTACTTTGAGAGGCTGGGCTGTCTCAAAGCTGGTACCAGAGAAGAATTTGTATTATCAGTACTTCTTAGCTTGCTTGTCTTTAGGCTCCAACACAAATACCTAAAATAAATAAAGCCCCAATTATGTGAAAAGTGAAAAATGCCTTGCTTATCCTGTGTTCCCTTCTTTTTGCATTTACAGATGTCATCCATACCGTAGGGCCAATAGCCAGAGGCCATATTAATGGGTCCCACAAGGACGACCTTGCAAATTGCTATAAATCATCTCTAAAGCTGGTGAAAGAAAATAACGTCCGATCAGTTGTAAGTACCTTTATGTTCCTTATTTCTTATTCATTTTCAGCCTTTATATTTTGGAAATCAATTTTCTCCAAAATAAGGGTGGAAAACCATTTCCAAAACTCCAAAAACTAAGCTTAAGGATCTTAGTAAGTGATGTGGTTTATTGGTTGTCATGTATGTATACTCTTTTGCATGCCCTAAATATTTGCTTAATTGTTCATGACGTCAGTTTTGGGATTTAAAACTCTAGAATGCCAGAACTGGAACCATCTCTAATATTTATGTTACACATCTCTAACTTTATGTTAAGCCAATAAATAGTAATAAGAGGCTACCCTATTAGAAACAGTGTAAAAACAACTTTTAATCAGGAAAAGAAACATCCCAACTATGATGCTCTTAAAACAATCATAGCTGCTGTTAACAGGTGCTACCTATCTATACTTTCTTCTCTTCATTTTGCTATCATCTTTTGAAATAAGTGTGTGTATTTTAACTTGACAGCCGTTATTCTTTTAGATTTATTTTGCTCTTCCTGAACTAATACTCTGTAGCTGGGTATGCCACATCCCTTCTAAGTTTTATCAATTTAGACAGAGTTAAAAAAATGTGGATCTAATCTATTTCCTTACCAGCAGGCAGAGATGAAAGGAAGTCTCCTCTAGCTGGATTTGGAGGTATTTATTCACCTGCTTTTCCTTTGCAGTATGTTACATTTATTACATCTCAATTACATCAGGCAAATAAAACTATGAGAAAAATGAGAGTGTAAATACTCAATAGTAAGTTAATTTGGGTGGAATCTCTTGGGTCTTTTCACATAGATTATAACCTTGCTGAAATTGTGGGGCAGGAAGATAGTTAAACACTTGACTTCTTAGCAGTCTGGTTGGATCAGCATTGCTTGGGGGTTCATAAAAGTGATGGTTTTAATATTTGCATAAAGGGACATTGAGAGTCAGACACATTTAGAGAACCCTGGATGGTCTCTGGACTTTTCACGCATGAGTATAATTATGAAGTGCCTCTACCAATGTACACTGGTGAGGTTTTACTTAAAGTAAGAAAACTGCAATCCAATCATACTACCTTTCAAATCTTTGCATAAGTATTAATGGAGTTCAATATTTTATTTCACTCTTTGATTTTTAAAATTTTTCTCTTTGCAAATGAATCAATAAGTAAGACCCCTTCGTCTTAGAGGAGAAAGCTGAAGTTCGAAAAGAATGGAGCAAAGCCAGTTACTGAACCAGTTGGCTAATTTTGTTCTCTACAGGAAAATAAGGAAAATCAAAACAGGGGTATATATTCAGAGAATAATTAAAATTTTGCCCATATGACTTAGTGATTTAAAAAGGTAAATGGCTGAAATGCTTAGAAAAAATGGATATTATACCAGTTTCCAGCTTGGGAAATATGGACCTTGAGACCTGAAGAGAATTTGGTAATTAATTCTCTAGCATCTCTAATTATTATGTTAAGCCAAAAAATAGTAATAAGAGGCTACCCTATTAGAAAAAGTGTAAAAACAACACCCATCCTTTAAATAAGAAAAAAAAAATCCCTAACTGTGATGATCCTAAAACAATCATATCTGCTGTTAGCAGGTGCTACCTTAGGCAAGGAGTGGAAGAATTATGGGCTTAGTTAAGTGGTGGCCTTTGGGTGATCTGGAGAAATACATGCCAATTTCTTCCTGGAATTGGGATTTGGTCCTACTTTGACATGTTTGATGATGATTTTGAGGGGTTAATTACATGGTACTTGGTACTATATTAGCAGGTGGTATTGAACTTACATCATTCCAATATTAGTAAATAAAAATAGAGATAAAAAATATCTGCAAAGTGTGAGTCAAAATGTCCAGCTAAACTAATCACCAAACTATGGCATGGTTGACAGGAGTTGTCATCAAATGTCTTGTCTTTTATTCATAAAAAAAGAAAGTCTGTTTTCCTTCCTTCCTCCCTCCCTCCCTTCCTTTCTTTCTTTCCTCCTTATAAAGGAGGAAACAGGGCTTTCTACTTTATATGAAATGGTCTTGACAAACATTAAAAATAATGCTATGTCATCAAATCCTCATTTTTTTGGATTGAAATGGGCAAGTCTTAGAAGGCCATTAAACTGGATGTGTGTTTTATAATACCAGTTTGTACTTTATAGACTTATCATGATAGATGGGGAAAGACAGTTAATATAGAATTCCTCGTTGTTAAGATGGAAAATAAACTTCACTTGAGCTCATTTATATACATGTTAAAGAAAATTTCTCATAAACTCTATAGTAGTGCTTGCTCTACCAGTTATCACTGTGTGACTAGGGACAAGTCATATCAATATTTTGTAGCCTCTATTTCCACAGACTAAGAATTAGTAAATTACTTCTGTTATCTCAGACAGACGTGTTTGACTCCTGAGGCTATTATGAGGATCAGTTAAGATAATGGATGTAAGATAATTGGGGGGAAAAATGTAACATTCTATTAAACTATTTGGCGTTATTACTTCAAGTATAAAATATTTTCAGATTTTATGATTTGGCAAATTTAGGAGATTGAGATAGTTTTTGCTTTGATGTCTATTCTGAAAACTGACCTCTAGCCATTTGTCATATTGTTTCTTGATGTTTACAAACCAGAAATAAATTTAGAATATTTATACAGGAAAAATTCAATTATCTCCTTCTCCTTTGTAGGGAAAAACCTTGTTCTTCCCAACTGTGCATTTCTTCTTGTGAGCTAGTCACATGGCCAGGTTATTACCTGTGCTTATCACCAGTTAACTGGCAATAGACTGAAGGTCCTGGCCACCTGCTTCTTGGGTTCAGTCAGTTTGCTAGAGCAGTTCACAGAACTCAAGGGAACACTTACTTACATTTACCAGTTTATTAAAGGATATGACAGAAGATATAGATGAACAGTCAGATGATGAGACACACAGGGTGAGGTCTGGGAGGGCCTTGGGCATAGGAGCCTCTGTCCCTGCGGAGCTGAGGTGCGTCACATCTTCAGATGTGGATGTGTTTGCCAACTGGAAATTCTCTGAACCACATACAACTGGGATTTTACGGAGGCTTTCCCAAGTAGGCATGATCAGTTGTTAACTATATTTCCAGCCCTTCTTCCCTCTCAAGAGGATGAGAAGTGAGGGCGACAATTCTAAGTCCTAATCATGTCGTGGTTTTTTTGGTGACCAGCCCCATCCAGAAGCCCATCCACAGTTCCCTCATTAGAACAAAATATGGTCCTCATGTGTTTATCACTTCAGAATTTATAAGGGAATCCTGTTAGAGGGATGGTGTCAAAGACAAATATTAGAAAAAGAGATGCTCCTAGTGCTCTTATCATTTAGGAAATTACAGGGATTTAGGAGCTCTGTGCCAGGAATGGGGGAACAGATCAATATATTTTTTTCTAATACCTCATAATATATTTATTTAGACAATTTAAACAATTGTTAATATTTTTAATAATTATTAATATTACCTTATTCATAATCACTAATACCACCCTTATTAATATTACCTACTCATATCTATATTTTCAGCACATAGCATACCACAGGCTTTATTTCTCAGTAAATGTATTGAATTGGATCAAAATAGACTAACTTGTCATGACATATCACTGTCTTAAATTTGTAGTCTAATTTTTAACTTTTCAAAGAACACTTTTATATTATTATTATGGTATCTCCCACTATGTGTTGTTTTACAACAAAGCTACAAAAATGAATGGGTTAACTAGTTAATATGAACTAGTTAAGATGGAGTTGCAGATATGTAACAAAGTACTGTAAGGCAATATAGTAAATGCCATAATCAGAATACATCACTCTATTTATTGCTCTAGATTAACTAGGCTATGCTGCAAATACAAATAACCTCAAAACCTCAGTGGCTTACATTCAGGAACTCAGATTTATAGACTTTCCATCATCTATAGCTGTAACTGTTTGGAACTGACAGCCACCTCAGCCCTACAACACAGACTTTGCAAAGTCATGTGTGAACTTTTTACTGTCTCAGCTTACAAGTGACACACATTATTTCTACTCCCATTTCACTGGCCAGAACTACTCACATAATCATTCCTATCTGCAAGGGGACCAGAGAAATATCCATGAGTAAATGAAATATTTGATGGGCATCACTTTTGTGCCAAATTTAAACCAAAGGCTTTGGGATCATGAGAGAGAGGTCAGAGATAGGTGCAAAGATGTGTACTCTGTAGTCTCCAGAAAGTAATATATTCTTCAAAATTTTCCTGGAGGTAAAACAAATAGTGTGATCATGTATTTACTTAATAAATATTAACAAGACTACTGTAAACTAAGACATCTTTAGGTATCTTCTAAGACCTGGAGGATGTAATGGTTTCCTTCAAATATATAATTTATCTCAAATTTCCTACCATCCAGACAAATAGACAAAATCATCATATCCATTTTATAATTTGAGAGTATGCTCTAGTTTTCTCATCAGTTTTAAATATTTCTCCACAGATGCCTGAAATCCCATAGTTAATGAGTCATTTATTATGATCAGACATTGTCCTTTTCTGCAGTTTTCCTTTAAAATGCAAATGCTCATTAGATCTGGAGATAATTAATTTCCTAATACCTTAATAGGAAGAAATTTGTCAAATTATTTTTCACTCTGGCTGAATAAATTAGAGGATGATAAAAGTATTAAGCACCTCAGCCTGAGGGAGGAGGAGAAATGGAAGGGAGGCAGAAGGGAGGTTGGGAGAAAAAGAAAAAGTGGAATAGAAAAAACTTCATTCACTTCCCAGTTTTGCTAAAGGGAGATAGGTTTTAAATAAAGAGGGAGGAGTTATTGTCACACATAATTAGAAATAAGGTAGTTATTTGGTTTTGGGATGTATTGTAGATCATTTTTTTCACTTTGAAAAAATAATATTCCTTTTATTAATTTAAGAGAGAAAGTTGTCTTACCTTTTTCTTCTCTAACCATTCTTTCTGGTGCCTTTTTTCATAATACATCTACATGTTTGCTTTAG